CAACTTAATCGAACTATATATACTAATAATTATGAAAATATAGTAATAAATATATATATTTATTTTAAATTAGTATGTTTTTTTGATGTGTTAAAATATAAAAATATGTTACACACACATATTCACACATACACACATACACAACACACAAACACACAAATAGCATGTTTGATTAGCAATATTAATTGCATTGTTAATGGCAATTGGCACATGCACTCAATGAACTTGTTGAACTTTTATCACCTCTCTCTTCTTATTATATTTGCCTAGGTAAAATGTACTTTTTCTATTCATAATTTCATGTATTGACCTGATTTGTTGGGTTGGCATAAATATAGCATGACGAATTTGCGTAAAAATTCTTCTTTCAATAAATTAAACAATTTACAGAAAATTCTGGTAAGGGAAATAGAAAAGACAAACTTTAAGTTAATTAATGCCAATAATTCGGTAGAGTTAATACAAAAATATATTCATACAATATATATATACATTTTTATTTATTTATTTATATATGTGAGATGACGATGATGTAAATATGTGTTTGATGAAAATAACGATGATGGTGATGATGAAGATAGTGATGGTGGTGATGTGATGATGATGATGATGAAGGTGACGATGATGATGATGATAGCAATATTTATAAATCAAACCTTGCTGTGGTTGCTTGTTATGTTTTGTCTCGGCACTGCTATCTTTGGATCAACCTGCATTATTTGAATGAAAACATTACATAACACACACACACATACACACACACACACATACACACACACACATACACAAACACACACATACACAAACACATACAACGCACACGTCACCATACACTAATTGTTTTGCATATAAACGCATAGCCTTCTTAAGTTTTACAAAAGTTTTTTTCTAATAAGAAGACATGATGCAACTTTCATATGAGTTATCAAGAAAATTTTAAATCGATAGTTCTCAACCAGAGACAAAACGTTCTTTATAGTTAGATAAACAGGAGAAGAAATGCTCCAATGAAAGATTTAAATGGTCCACTGTAGGGACCGCCATGTCATTCACAATCTTTCTCTTTCGCCCTTTCTTCCCTTTCTTTTTCTTTCTCTTCTCTCTCTCTCTCCCTCTCTCCCTCTCTCTGTCTCTCTCTCTCTCTCTCTCTCTCTCTCTCTCTCTCTCTTTAAGTTACAAACAGACCAGCCTCATGGCACAGTAAACATGACCTAGAGAGGATATATGACGTTAAAAAAGAAGGCGATCATATGAAAGTAGAACATGAAGGATCAAATGAACTTTTTTTACTGTTGCCTTGAGATAAAAGCGTCCTTCTTGCTTGCCAAAAACCGTTTCTTACTTCATAATTCCACATCAATCTTCAGATGAATTTGAATGTTGTAATTATGGTCCTTGCATTTGTAATAAAAAAACGAATCAATAAATAAATCTAAAATTCGATTTTGAAATCACAGCACTTGGTGTATTTGCTACAGTTGTATTATCTTATGTGTGTACGAATTTGTGTGTGTGTGTTTGAATGTAAGTGTGTGTGTGTGGTGAGTGTTATATTTCTTGATATTATCGCACATGTGTAGTGTGTAGATAGATGCCTTGTGTGCGTGCTCTTTAGGATGTATGAGTTAATAATAAATACGTGGAGAGGAATGGATGGAAAAAATAAGAGGATAAAGAAAGACAAACAAGAAATTTACCAGATTACACCTAATTAACTGCAGACATATTTTATGAACGTTCATAAGTGCGTTTTTGTGGCTGTGTGGGGCTGTGTCTGTATGGTTTTGTGGTTGTGTGGGGATGCGTGTGGTTTTAAATGGTTATGATGGGTTGAGTGATTATGTGTAGTTGTGCGGTTGCGTGTGGTTTTGAATCGTTGTGTGTGGTTGTGTAGTTGTGTGTGGTTGTGTGTAGTTGTGTGTAGTTGTGTGTAGTTTAGTGGTCATGTGTGGGATTGTGTGTGGTTTTGTGTTAGTGCGCATGCACTTCAAATGAGTTTCAAAAACTTCTCTAGAAAAACGTACAATGAATTTAAAAAGTTTCCTTTTTGAACGAACAAATGCATCGTGTATGATAAGTATCCAAGCTACCGTCAGCTCGTTCATACAAAAACTAATGTTTTCAATGTTACGCTTAAAAACTGAAACCGATGATGGTAATGGAGATGATGATAAAAATGATAATAATGATTAAAATGATGACGATGGTGATGATAAGAAAGGTGACGTCGATGATGATGATTATGATGATGACAATGATAATGATGTTGATGACGATTGTGATGATGATGATTGTGATGATGATGACGATGATGATGACGATGACGATGACAATGATGATGAAGATGATGATGAGGTCAGAAGTGGCGGATTCGAAGTTAACGATGATGAAAGTATCAGTTTGAGCGATGTCCTAATGAAGACGATGATTTGGAAAAACTTACCCGCGGCTAATAAAACCACAATAACAGCAACATATATAACAACACTAACAAAAATGACATCATAGTAACATCAACAACTAATGGATCATGTAAAATGTGAATCACGATAATCCATTAAATAAAAAAAAAGACCTATAATAAAACATTTTGTGGTTACGGTGTAAATGTGATGCTAGAAGCAATTCTAACCTCTTCAGAATGAAAAACACCTCAACACTTTCTACATACAACACACACTCACGATGAAAAATATTAAAGTCTGATACACTTAAAACGCAATCTATAGCACTAAACATGATGACATTAACGTGAAAAATAAAAAAAATAACAACAGTAGAAAATAAAATAACAACAACAGCATAATAAAAAATAGAAATGATACGAAACATATCCACTTGTGCCATACCATCTATGATTCTAAACAATAATTTTTGCTGCTCGGATTGTGATGATGATGATGTTATATGATGATGATAATGATGAAGTCAGATGTTGAGGATGAAGATGATGAAGAACAGGTGATGGTTTTAGATGGTGTTAGTAATAAACTACTGCGAATGAGAGTGTTGGCTTATTGGCTTATTTTCAATTTGATAGCAAGATAAAAAAAATTTGTTCAACTGCATCAATTTTAAATTTGAAAGAAAAAGAATGTGCGTTTTGTTTTTTTTTGTTTTTTTTTTTTGCTAAACGACCAACAAAACAACAAAACTGAAAAATACTTACCTAACGTAAACTGCCTAAACAATAACCACTACAAGTAGGCAACAAAGCATTATTGCATCCAACAACAGCCCATCACCGTACAACAACAAAACCTATCCTACACATATAAAAAAAACAAAATTTAAAAAAATTCTGATGTAAAAAAATTAAAAAGCGATGCAACAAAAAAAGGAAAAACTGGAAAACACAAAAAGTACAATAACAATAAAAAAGATACTAAAAACACAGAAAATAGTACAAACAATTCCCCAGGAATATAAAATAAGATGAAAGAAAAGAAATACAGAAAACCTAGCGACAGCAACTGACTAAGAAAAAGAAGAAGAAAAAGATGAAGAGGAAGAGAGAGAAGAGAGAAAGAAGGAGAGAGAGAGAACGCGAAAGATAGTATATGAGACTTGATTAGTTTCTTGACTCCGTTTAATTTCTTTGCAGTCGATGCAGTCAATAGCAAAACGTCAATCATATAGCGCTAGCTTTTCCGCAACTCTGAGTTTCTTGCAGAAAAGGAAAAAATGGAAATAATCAATATGAGCTATAAATATCACGAAAAATTGCAGAAAAACAGTCTTTGATTGCCGCAGCTTAAGAAATAGTTGTTTTGAGAAGCCATCCAGAAAGTGAAAATTATAAACCTATTACACCTCATGCATGAAATTTATATAGAATTTTTTTGAGTTTAGAGAAATACATCAATATTTAGGATCAAAAAACAAATTTTAAAGCAATTAAAGTTATATTTATTGTCAATTATTAAATGCTATTTTATCAGATTTACTAACTAAATGAAGTTTTATTAAAATTGAAAAATTTATTATATTGTGAGGCAGTTAATTTATCCGAGAAATCTATCCAGGATTAGGCCAATCAACGTGGAAAGATTTTTGTTGGAATGCGTGCGAATGGACAGAACAATGAAATGTATATAAATGTGTGTGTGTTTGTCTGTGTGTGAGTCTGTGTGTGTGTGTTTCTGTGTCAGAGGTTTCAAATTAAATACTCTGTTAAACCAATGCCTCTTTAGTTCCTGTTTGAATTGCTTTACTGGAACAATTTGCTCCCAACACAATGGTAAATCGTTCCGAATCTTCGGCAAAGGAGCTTACTTGCACCTAGCCCTATTTTAGTTCAGGGGACTACCGTCGATTCACTGGTGATAGGTCGCAAAACATGCCCCATGCCCATCTCAGATTTTTTACGAAAAACCTCCTTCAAGTATTCTGGTCGACCACGATGAATGCAAAGGTGAGCAGTAACCGCCATCTTGTAAGAAATTTGCTCGCGCACCGGCAAGCAATTAAAATTCTCCAACCACCCAGTTATGTCAGCACGTTCACCAAGTCCAACAGCCAGTCTTGCAGCAGCGTTCTAAATGCTTTGAACTTTGTTAACCACATCAACCCCAGCTTTAAGTCGGATATCACACATGACAAACGAATTATATCGACACACATTCGTTAAAATCTCAACAACACACAAATTGATAAAAATCTCAACAAACAAACAAACAAACTCATAACAATTACGACAAACAACACCCAAACTCACCAAAAAAATGACATAAACAAAAAAATTAATGGTCAATGCAGAACTGAAGCGAAGAAGAAGCGCAGAAAATATTAGAAATAGAACATTGATCATAAAAAGACAAGCGCTGCACAACACAATTACGAAACGAAACAACAGCGGCGGCGAAATATAATGAGAAAAAATACAATATCCAGAGAGGATATATACTATTCTGCATGATCTGATGTCAAGTCAGTTAATAAAGGATTAATAAGTAGGCAATTGATTAGTTACGCACGTCCAACACAACTTCATCTATCTATAATTAGCTAATTATTTTTTCCAACCAACAATTCGCTTTGTATTTTTTTACCCAATTTGTTCAGTCCTTGCTATTTTTACTTCATTTTTATGTTGTTGTTGTTTTTCTTCTTCTTCGTTGTTGTTTTTTTTATTTTTCTTCTTTTTCATTATCTTCTTCTTCCAATGTTTTGCAGGTTTTTATAATGCTTTTTTTTCATTTTTTTACAACTTTTTATCTTTCAATAACTTTTCTCAATAAAAAACTGTTTTTTCATCTAAAATTTGTTTTTACATAATTTTTCAAAATTTGAAAAATTGTTTATCTTATATAGCAAACAATTGTTTTAAATGTTTCAACACAGCGAACGCCGAGCAAAACACATGTATATAAACAACAAAAAAAGTAAACCATATACATACAAAGCAGATGTTTTAATGTAACCAACCACATACAAAACATACAACCAGATGTTAAAATGTAACAAACTTATGTATGTATGTATATACAAACATGCCACACTAGCATTTTTTTTAATTTTTCAAAAGGCTTTTCAATATGTCTGCCAATTGACTGGGAAGACTAATAATTTGGCACTGATCTCTAGCAAATACAAAACCTGCTGCTACAAATGTTGCCATGCAGAGACACAAGCACACCAACACGCCAACGCATACGCATATGCACACATACATACACACATAACAAAACAAAAACAAGCAAACAATACCACATATGATCACACAAACTACGTACAAAGGACTACATAATATACAAAAATACTTTGGCTTGTTAATTTATATGCTGTTAAATGTATATTATTTATTCTGTATTTAATCAATTTGTTCAATTATAAATTTTAAATTACTTTGTATCAAATCAAAATTTTTCTGTTTGTTCGTTTATTAAATTTTCTTATTTATTTATTCGTTCAGTTAATTATTTTAAACCAAAGCAATGTTTTCATCTATTTTTATTTAAAATATTTCATTCGGATTGTTTTAAAATTTATTTTAAAAAATAAAAAACGAAGGAATCCATGAAAATTAGCCAAATTACACCTCGATAGTCGTTCGAAATTCATTCATCTCCTTATAACCTGCCACAATTCCATTCACTCTCTACCTGCCAGTGACAAAGATTAGACTTTTTCTGATGTAAAAACGTTTTAAATTTTGAAACTGTCAAATAATTTTATGTTAATCTTTTTTAATTTGTTCAACATGGAAACGTTTACTTGTGTTTTACATCTGCTAAAAACCGTCCTTTGAAAAAATTATTGAAATAAAATAACAATTTTGTTTTTTGTAATTCATGGCTACTCTAATTTTATGTGCGCCACCACACTTTCTTGATCACTGAATTTTAACGATAAATGTTTGATAATTGAAAAAATTAGTGAAATAAAATGAATATATTGTGTTTTACATAGTTCAAGGTCATGTACACAAATTGCTGTCAACTATACAGTTCAATTAAGCTGTGAACTGTAATGTACAGTGTGAAGTGAAATACATTTTAGTGATGAGAAGCATCAAATCTAAAAATTAGTTGATGAATATTTCCGGTAGGTTGTGCCGCGGCTAACAATCCCGTCACACCCCTTCTTTGCTACGCCTTTGATGAAATAGCATGAAATCATTTTTAACATATCAAAATATCGTAGCGAGATTGTGCGTGTTGTTGTTATTGTTACTGTTGTTTTGTGAATGTTGTTGTTGCTGCTGCTGTTGTTGTTGTTGTTACTGTTGTTGTTGCTGCTGTTGTTGTTTGTGTGGCGTGTTGTTTTCGTGAATGTTGTTGTTGTAGTTGTTGTTACTGTAGTTTCGTGAATGTTGTTGTTGTTGTTGCTGTTGTTGTTGTTTTTGTTGTTGATGTTGTTTGTGTGGCGTGTTGTTGCTATTAATGTAGTGATTGGTTTTTTTTTACTTTTATTGTTTCTGAGATTGTTGTCGTTGCTGCTGTAACTGTTGAAATATAGAAAGTCAGTCCTGACTTGATTGTGAATGTTAAATATTTAATGCCTGAAAAAATATCTTGGCCTAGCTTGATTTCTCTGGCATACATAGTCACTGCTAGAGGTGCGTACATGCATTATGTAAGATTAATTGTTCGGAGCAGCCCCTACCAACATTGTATAACTTTATATTTATTTACCATAAGCCGGTGCGTGATACACAATTCATTAACCTTACACCAGAATTCTGCAGAACATTGAAAAAATTGTGATGAAGAAGAAAGAGAGAGAAAGATAGAGAGAGAGAAAAAAAGAAAGAAAGAACTTTTAAATGAGATAGAAGGAGAGACTGAGAAATAATCCTAACAATGCATACATCAAAATAAAAACTTAAGTAATTATAAAAAGTATTCATGTAAATAACGGTGAAAAAAATAGCAAAAAGTGCACTAATGATTGGGAAGGCGGCTTCTGAGGGGATGCAAGCGGAGTAGAATAGAAACAAACCTGGCAGAAGTTAATCAATCATTGAACGTTTATTCATAGAAACTAACAAAATAGGCTATAAAACTCCATATAAACGTATGTATTTAAATACGAATACCCTATGCAGAAATGTATAAACGTACGATTATACATTAATACATCATGCATCAAAATTACATATACAATCCACATAGGTATGTACATAAATATATATGAGCGTTGTATAGAGTGCGTATGTAGAGTTCATCTACGTGATGCACTGTAATGCGTGACTTCAAGACGCGATGCAGTCGATGTAACGGCTTCTTAAGCGGCTGTTGTGGCGTGTTTTGCTGTGTTGTTTTGGTATAGTGGTGTTGTTATAGTGCAGTTTTGTGTTATGTTATGCTGTTTAGATGTGCTGTTGCTGTCGTTGTATCAATGCTGCTGTATTGTGGTTGGGCTGTGTTGTTGTAGTAGTTATTGTTATTATTGTTGCTGCTGCAATATTGTGTTGTTATGCTATAGTAAATGCGTGCCAGCAATAATAAGAGCCATTCTTGAATTTGATTAGTTTAAAGTTCAAGTAGGGGTAGGGGGCAGAAGTTAGAGAAACAGTAACAACGGTGGTAGTAATTCTCGTCGTCCATGTTGTTGATGTACTGGTAATAATAATAATAATAATAATAATACCGATAATAATAACACCAATAATAATAATAATACCGATAAAGGCCCAATAGGAATAGTAGTATAGACAGTAAAATGTTGTAGTCTCAGGTTAATTGAGTTGGAACAATAACAGTAATAACCACACAGTCTTGATTGTAGCAGTATCCATTGTATACAATAACGATTTTAGATTATAAAGTAATAAAAGTAGTATCAATGAATATTTTTGTAGTTGTAATTAGTAAAGGCGGATCTTGTTGAAGATTCTGTTTAAAGAATAGTAAACAGTAAAAATGTAGTCAAAATGAGGTCACTAAGTTGAGAATTTTTAAAACCATCCGCCATCAAAACTTGGATAAACTGGAGTTACAGGAAATAAAAGGAATTGATAAAAAAAACTTTAGAATTTAAAAATCATAAAATTTAAAATCATACCCCCTCCCCCTTCATGCCCACGCAAATTCCACACCCACCAGTAGAAAATGAAGGTTGAATTTTTACTAAATGAACGAATAACTTTTGCTACTGCTACAAAATTAACAAATAATTGAAAATGCATTTATAATTTAATTACTGATTATATTTGCTGCAATAATAACCAGCATAGTTTCACTTCATTTTTTGATGATTATTGTTATGGTTATGAGTGTTATTATGTTATGGCGGTTATTATTAATATAGCATTTAATTAGCCGGTCCAGTCATCATTATTAGCTGGTAATGGTGCAATCTGTTGGGAAAAGTTGTAAACAATGATTTGTTGTGGTCTGCATGACCTTATGTTAATAGCAATGTTCATTCTGTTGTTGTTGCTGCTGCTGTTGTTGATGTTTTTGTGGTTGTCGTTGTTGTTGTAGTTGTTGTGACTGTGGTTGATTTTGGTGTTGTTTCTGACAATTATGTTGTTGGTGGTGTAGTTTTTTTTAACGTTGGTTTCGAAATGCGTTCTTTATTTAGTTGTTAGTGTGGTAGTTGTTGTTGTTGGATTGTTAATAATGTTTTGATTATTTTGATTGTTCTCAATGTGACTGCTGCAAATTCAAGTGTTTTTCTCAAGTTTTTGTGCTTCTTTCGAAGTTAATGTTATATATCGGTAATGCTTCTCGATTGTTTTTGTGGGTTGAAGAAAATAAGTGATGTTTATGTGGTCAATGTTCATGCTAGAGTTGTTGTCGGCTCTCTCCTTACAGGATGTTCGGAGAATTTGAGGCTATTTGTTAGAACTTAATGAATTGAATTTAATATATCTTTTGCTGCTTAAGATTTTGTGAAATTTTTGAACAATGTCGATATTTTTACTAATTCCAGCTTGTGACATTTAATGTTGAGTGTTATTGTCATTACTGTTTTTGATATTGTCGTTGTTGTTGTTATAGTTGTTGTTGCAGTTGTCGTTGTAGTTGTATCGTGCGGCTTATCAGTATGCATTGTTGTTATTGCTTTCATTGATGGAATGTCATGGCTTTGTTCTGATGTACTGTGCTTGCATTCTAACTAGATTTGTTGTTCTTCTTGTTAATGTTGTTGATGTTGTCTCTCAAGTTGATGTTGTTTCAAGGTTAATGTTGTCGTTGTTGTTGTTGCTAAGATGGTTGCAAATAATTTTTTGTCTTCGTTGCGTTTTTCGTAGTTGTTTGCAATAACAAATAAACATGTTTTCATTTAACATGGGTTCAGAGAAATAATTTTTCAACATTCATTAATGACGATTGTTCTTAATATCTTACGTGCAAACAACATTGAAAAACCAGGTTTGAAAGTATGACCATTCAGAAAGTATAGGAATCAGACATGCAGATGCACGTGAGAGCTTGCGAGGAATGGATGGTCTCTGGATGAAAATACTGCTTCAACACATGAATTCTCTGTCTTAATTTTTATTAAACTTCTATTACGGAATCGGAATAAAAAAAAATTTAATTAATATTCTTTAAAATTTTCACAAAGTATTTATTTAATTTTTTGCAAACAGTTTGCTTGGTTGATTCCCAGTTGGATAAACAATCGCAATTAATTGTTTCTTATTTCGTTTTCAACGGCACCTACCAGCTACTAAAAAAAAATCTGAGCCCAATTAACGTGCAGCGAAAAAACAAATGTTTTTGTGATGGTTTGCCACTTTAAGTAAAATTATAAACCAATTTCTGAAATAATTTTTAAGAGTACATAAAAGATGTCTAGAAAATATGAAAAGACAAGTCAAACCTCCCAACCGCAAGATTGATAACAAGTAAATTAGTAGCTCAATGACCGCTACAACAACATCATTAACAACAACAACAACAAGACAAACAACGGAAACAACAAAACAATGACAGACGCAACAACAACATTTTCCTCAATGAAACCAACATCTTCAACGTTGCAACACAACATTCTCTTCTAAAACAGAAGCAACCACAACATCACCAACAATCAATACTTCAACCAATATCGTCAACAAAATTCACAACAACATAAACGAAATAATAAGCACCAATTACACCAACAACAACAACATGAACAACATGAACAACAAAATAAGTACCAACAACAACATAAACGACAAATTGTACAACTAACCAGTTTAGAGTCAAGTTGATGTGGCCCTCCGTTCAAGACCTTCACGACACTTTCTGGATCACTGAATGTTACAAATCCAAAACCCCTGTCATGTTAAATGTTGTTGTTCATGTTGTTGTTGGTGGTGGTGGTGTTGTTAGTGTTGTTGTTTATGTTGTTATGTAGTTTTGCTAATATTTTTCAAGTCACTAATTGTTCAAAATTTTTAATTTTTCATGAGTATGCACCGTTTCGTTGTTGTTATTAACTTGTTGTTTTCGGTTATTGATGTTATGATTTACGTTGTTGTTATTTTGTCGATGTCATGTACGGTGATGTTTGTTGATGTCATAATTTACGTTGCTGTTGTTATGTATAGAGTCGTGTGTTTTTTGTTATTCGTGTTGCAGTAACTGTTTAGGATGCAACAAAGTTAAGTCATCAGACATAAAACTAAATAAATGGACTGACAAATTAATAAATGATTGGAAATGATATTAATTAACTGACAATAATTTTAAAATATACAAAACAAGCTAATCTCAATAAAGCACATCGTAGCGCCATTATGGGAGCTTTAAAGCCGTTAAATTAAAACAAACAAACAAACAAACAATTTAAGTTATGTTCTTTTCGGTGTTGCTATTGAAATGCGGACAATTTAAACGTTCACGTTTGAACGTGTTGTTATTCCTTCTCTGTATTTTTACAATTGACTTTATCATTGGTGGCGCAATTGTATTTTTCATGTTGCAATTTGCGTTGCATTCTTGCCTGTATGTTAGCGTTTTGTGCAAGGTTGTTTGAAACTAAAAATCACGGCGTCATTTTGTTTCAAGGCATATTTATGGCTGCTACATTAAACATGCCTACCCAATCTTATTAAGATGCCTCCAAACAAAACGTGCAAACAAATTAAATTTTTTAATATTTCTTGAGTGTAAATATTGCTAGGTATGTGCGTGTGTGTGTGCGATTGTGTGCGTGTGTGTGTATGTGTGTGTATGATGTTTTTAAATTTTAGGAAATGTTTGTGTGCGTGTGTATGTATGTGTGTATGTGTGTGTGTGTGTGTGTCTGTGTGTATGCATGTGTGTGTGTGTGTGTCTGTGTGTGTGTATGTATGTGTATTTGTGTGTGTGTATGTGTGTGTGTATATGTGTGTGTGTGTATATGTGTGTGTGTGTGTGTGTGTGTGTGTGTGGTGTGTGTATGTGTATGTGTGGATTGATCTATAGCAAATCGATAGTTCGATTTATAAGGAACATTCCAAGGATTGCGTGCTGTTGTTAGATTGACCGCTAAGAGGACAGTGTTATTGTTGTAGTTGTTGTTTGTTTGTTTTGTTGTTTTAGTCGAAACTTTGTTTTGTTGTTTTGCATTGTTGTTGGTTTTTGTTGTCGTTTTCTGTTATATTGTGTGGTTGTCTTTGCAGTTGTTTGTGGTTGCTGTTGTTTTCATTTTAATGGTTCAATGTTAGTGTTGTATTTATGGAGGATGGCTGGCTGTTGTTGTTCCTGGTATTGTTGTTATTAGCAATTTTTTCCAAGGGAATGTTAACGTTAACATGATTTTGTTTATGTTATTGTCGTTGGATAGTTTTGTTTAACTGTTCTGTGTGTTTGTTTATCAGTTTTTATTCTTTTGCTCTGAACAAATTGAGCGCTTTTTTTTGTTATTGTTGTTTTGATAATGCTGTTGTTGCTGTTATTTTCGTTTAATTGCTGTTGCCTGTCCGTTTTGTAAGCGTAGCTTTGTGGTGT